CTATGTCAACCCTGCTGGGGAGGTCCCTCCTCAGCTTTCAGAAAGCTGTATGGAAATTCTTCAAGACGTTCAGTCCTGGTCAGTGAAACAGCAGACACCCCAGGGGGCACTGGGTCCAGAGCTCAGCACTGTGGCCTAGGTGCCAGAACTGAGACCAAGTGAATAGGGAAGGGCACAGAGGTACACACCCTGGTCCAGGGAGGTGTCCCTAACGATTCTGGCAACTCATCCAGGCCCCTGCTGAGCTTGTGTTTCAGGTGCTTCCTGTTATTATTAGTATCAACTATTACTAACGAGGACTGTCGTTAATATTAGAATTTGCATGTGGACTCCAGGCCTCACAGGCTAGTCCTGGTTCTCCTCCTGCTTCACAGCTTGCTACTTCCTGCATTTCTTACCCCATCCTTCAGATGGTGAGCTGTCTGTGAGTTCAATTGCAAGGCTTCATTTTTCTTGTTGCATCCCCCTCCCTGTGGACCTCCCACTGCCACAACCTCTACCCCCATCTCTGTGTTGTTAGATCTGGCCTTCCAGGACCTCCCTCCTGTGGAAGATGAAGTCACACATTAGAGATGTGGACAATTGGGGATCAACCATTTGCTGAGCCCCTACTACGTACCCAGCTGTGTAATATTCACAACACATAAAATAACCCTATCACTATTCTACTTCACAGATGAAGAAACTGAGCATTTGGGAACTCATTAAGTAACTATGAATTTGAGTTGGCCTGGCTCCAAAAATTGAAGCTCCTTTGCAAATGTGAACATGCCTAACTCACAAATATTTATTACACTTTTTCTTCTTCCTTCTTTTCTCTTTCCCAAAACTCTCACAGGATCCACCATCACTTCACTCAGCCTAATTGAAAACGAGCTCAGCAGTTTCATCCTCCTCTGCTCAATTCCCTGCCTTTCAAGGGCTTCAGGCTCTTCCCTATGGCCAGTGTTCCCTCCCACCCATCCTTCTAACATGTATCCAACAAGGCTGCTGAGGACAATGACCACAGAGAGCAACAGCCACTGAGGGCTGGCAGAAGGCCATCTTGTCCACTTCCCACCAACAGGCACAGTGATCACACCCAAGGTCCTCCAGATTTCCCAAGGCAACCACTATTTCCACCCTTCTTCCTCTTCAGCACATTTTTCCTACCTAAAAGTAAAGGACTAGAATCAGTTTCATTTCCACACACCAGGAATAAATGAAATAATTTCCACATGTAAGCCAGACAGATAAAGAATGCAAACCCTAGAGCAGAGTTTTCTAGGTTTCTCCTAAATCAGAGGAACAAGCCAGGGAGAAACTCCTGGGAAGCTTAGGGACAGGACTAAAGTTCTGATCCAGTGCCCTGCCTCTAAGCAAGCCACAACTTGCCCACAGAAGTGGAATAGTTTTATAATTCTGAAGGAACAAGATTGGGTAATTACCAAAACTCCCTTGTTTTCAGTGAGTAGAAAACAAGGACTGGGAGGAGTCCCCCAATCATCAGAGTTTGAAATATAATGGGCCAGCGTGCATGGTCACAGTTACTCTAAGAGCAATGCATATATAATTCACTGGGATGCCACCCACTCTTGGGCTTAAGAATTTGGGACTTAAGAGAAGATGACTAGGGAATGACTTCCTAAAGCTGGGGAGGAGAATGAGAGAAGGACCAGAGTCAGTGAGGATTTACAAAGTGACTCTGGGAGAGATTTTCCACAGCCAGGTCCCTAAGAGGCAAGTTTGTGGATATCCTGAAGATGCCAAGTTAAGTTTCTGATGGCTTTTGAAAGAGTGTCCTTGGTTCCCAAGGAGATGTAAATTATCTAAATAATTTTTCAGTGCCCATGGGAACTAGAATTTAGCCTTGGCAAGTTCTACCTAGCAAAAGGTAGAACTAGGAAGAGGAATGGAGACAACTGATTGTGCTGTTTGTGTCTCTGAAAAACGGATGATAATCAGGACTGTTGAGACTCCCACTCTTAAGGAAGTTCTTGTGCCAAGCCTTTTGCATGCCTGGTGCTGTGGTTTGGATAAAAATTCCCGAAAGGCCTAGGTAGGCAAGACTGGGTTCTCAGGCCATACTGCTATTGGAAGGCAGTGAAACTTTTAGGAAGTGGGGTTAATAGAAGGAAATTAAATCACTTGGGGTGTGCCCTTGAAGGGGATGTTGAGACCCCACCAGCCCCTCCTCTTTCTTTTTCTCCTTGCTTCCTGGTTGCCATGAGGTGAGCATCTTCCTCTACCCTTGTCCTTCCTCCATGATGTGCTGTCTTGCCAAAGGCCTTAAAAGTCACTAGGCCAGGCAACAATAGACTGAAATCCTTGAAACTGTGAGCCACAGTAAACCTTTCTTCTTTTGAAATTCATTATCTCAGATACTTTGTTACAGTGATACAAAGCTGACTAATACACCTGGTGACATGGACCACCTAAATTTTGCAAGCCAGGTATTCATTGAAGTCATTATTTAAAGGTAAATCACAAACTTACAGCTAAATAAGTTATATTAAAATACAGGTGATAAATACTGAAAACTCACCACTTCTTGATTATTTTACTATAGTTCTCTTTTATCTAAGCTCTTGAGGTCATTTACTGCTTGTATTATATATGAATTGCAAAAATGCTATGCAAGAATGTACTACCAAACATTTCTCCCAACTGTATGCCAGTAACATCCTGTTGACTGTGAAATCAGCCACATTTGGAGTATTTATACCACAGAACTTGAGGAATTCTACAAATCAGGGCTTCCCTAACCCCCAGGCCACAATGCTCCAAAAGCCTCTGTTAAACATCTATCAACACAAGTGTTTTCCTTCCGCACTGAACAAGGTTTCATGCAGGAGAAATGAAAAGACCAAGGTGTTCCTGCAGCAAAATCACTGGAGCAGAAGCTTCCCTCCCTCCTGGCTTGGGATGGTGAGCCTAGTGAGGGCTGCAATCTTAGCCTTGCATATAGGAACTTCCCTGGTTTCCTGGTTGACTCACTGTAAGAGGAAGTTGTCAGAGTCTCTCTGAAATCTCTCTTGATGCTTTTTCATGGACTTTTCTGCCAGATCTTTACTGCTCCCCACCCTCAAATGAAAGCTAAGAATGAGCATGGCTCCCTGGTTCCCAGACAGAGAAGATGGTATCATTCAACACAACCTACACAGCCAGTTGGCTGCCTGGGCCCCTTACCACATTGCAGGAGGCTGATTGGAGGACCTTCAAAACTGAGAGCACTCTCCCCAAGTCAACCCTGGCAGTCCCCTGCCTTATGGTGAGTGTCCTGCTCACAGTGCCCTGCTGAAGATCTAATCTGTGAGTAAGTCATCTGAGAGGTGCTTATAAATGTGACAAATGAAAGGATAGAGGTCTTTTGGAGTTCTCTGCTCCCTCCCTGTTTGACTCCCTTCCCTCTATACCCCTGCTCACCCCCAGCCCTCCCACCTCTCCAGCCCCCAGGTCAGATGTCTTTGCTTCCCTGGGTCTCACCATTGTCTCTCAATTTTCCTCCCAAGCTTTACCAGCAATGCCACCACCCTTTTGCACATACCCAAGCCATCTCAAGCCATCCCTAGTTATGTACTACCAGGCAGTGTTTCAGGAGTTCCTAGACCCATATACTCTTAGGCCTACTTCATGTGGCCCTAGGGTGGGAGTAGGAAAAATTAGGATAACATCTTCAAAAGGTCAGAGACAAAGAAAGAAGAGTCTTGGTTCTCAACAAGCAGGTGACTGGGAAAAGGCGAATAGGACTAAGTGACTTGAAGTACTATGCATTTCTGAAGATTCCCCATCCCTATACCAGACAGGTGTCCAGTTGTGTGTCTGTTACAACTGTCCCATATGGAGTATAACCACCTGGTTAACTTGGCAGCTGAATTGGAAACATGATACTCTGATCTTTGATCAAAGAACAAAGCTATGTGTGTTCTATTCATTTCAATAGAATAAATATCCCATTATATTTTGACAACCAGAGATGATGCCTTGCTTTGGGAAGTAGTAAACTGCCACCAGAGTTAGGCAAGAAGGGGCTAGAACTTCTTTTGTCAGAAATGCTATAGAAGGAATTCAGGTATCAGAGAAACAACCTGATGTCCTGGAGTCAAATATTCCTAGACCAAATCCTGAGTTATTACTTTTGTTGCCTTAGTTGAGATTCCAATCCCCTTGAGCCTCAGTTTCTTAACCTGTATAATAGGTTAAGACTATTAATGCAGTCTCACAGATAATTAAGACAAAATTAGGACAAAATATTTAAAGGCACTTGGCACTTAGTGGGTACTCGATAAACTTAATCTTCTTCCTATCAACAGGAGGACTGAGTTAGATGGCCTTGAAGTCTTTCTATACTACAGAGTCCGAGTCTGGACCCCTTCCTGTGTGTTGAGAAGGAAAGTATACATCTGGAGAGATACAGAAGTTGGGATTGGGGAGATGAGGGGATGAGAAAGGAGGACGCTGAGAATGGTCAGAGAGCATTAAGAAAGAGTCCTGTTTCCTCTTCTGACCTTCTAGAAAGAAGAGGAAAAGGTTCTGAATTTAAAATCCAATCTGAGGACCTCAGTTTCCCCATCTGAATTGTGAAGGAGTACATTAGATGTCTCCTTCCAGCTCTGACTTCCCCAATAAGAAGTGGAAGGGAGGGAGTGGTGGGAACGAGGTGAGGTGGCAGGGAGCAACCTCCCCATCCCTGAGAAGAGCCCTCACTCCTTGACCACCCCTCCGTGGAACACTCAGTCTCAGGTCTTAAAGCTTCTTTATTGTGCTAACACTCTTGCCTTGGATCTCAGATCTCACACAAAACAATTTCGTCCAGACTCCCCCCACCCACTCACCCGGGGCCCGGGACCCTCCGCCTTGACTGGGGACGCCAGGCCTGTACCTCTGCTGCTGTCAGATACCGACTTCGCTCCCTCTTCCTTCCCTCTCCTGAGTCCCTGAGACTAGGAGCCCGGGGTGCGGGAGGGCTCTGGACCGCCTTTCTCTTTCCTTTCCCGCCCACTCCCACTTTGGGGGAGGAGGCTCTACCTCCCTATGCTTTTTTTTGAGGGAAATTCCTCAGCACCTCCCCCCCAGCCGCCAGAAGGCCTGGGGAGAGCTAGGTCTGCGCCGGCCGGAACTTGTCCCCAGCTACGGGCAGAGAGCCCCTACCCTTCATCCGGCCAGGACGCAGCCCGGCGCGGCGCGCGCTCACACTACAAGGCCGTCCTTGACCTGCTGCGGCCCCTCGGCACAGTCGGCCGGCTCGGCGCTCTTGACCTTGACGTAGACCGGGGAGGGGCCCGCTTCGCAGGCAGCGGCGGCTGCGGCGGTTCGGGGCACTAGGGCCACGTCCTCGGGGCCACCACGGGGCGGAGGAGCGTACTTGCGGCGCAGGGAGCGACTGACGTTCTGCGTCGGGTACCCCAGGAGGTGGGTGACGCTGCTGCCGCGCCCGCTGGCCTTGCACCCGGGCGCCTCGGCGTCCACTCTGGAAAACAACAGGCGGGCGGGTGAGCGGGCTCCTCCGCGGCGCGGCGTTGGCACGGCCTGGGCAGAGCTAGGGGGTTTTGGTAACCTCTCGTCTCCCTCGCCTCCCTCCACCTGCCTTTCGCCTCTCTCCTCGGCCTCAACCTACTCTCCTCTCTGCACTTTCCTGGGCCAGCGACCCTGCAGCGATCCCAGGAGCCACCATCCCAATCCTCTAGACAGGGCTTGTCCACACGTGTCTGGACAGCCCACGCAGGCATCCCCAACCAGGTGCTCTCCATCCCTTTATGATGTTTCAAGAACAACCGCCTCTTACAGGGAGGGAGTTTTAGCGATCCCGGAGCCATTCCTCTTTCCTTATTTTCTTAATTAACCCTGATCTTGTGCGCTGGAGCGCTAGCTCTCTCCTCTCCTCCTGCCCCTCAATCTTCTCCATCTTTCCCTCCATCCCCAAGGCATTGCAATCATTAGCATTGCTAGTCTTATTCTATTTTTATTGCTAGTTTTGCTTCTAATATGTTATTAGTACTATTCTTATTATTAACTCTTCTTAAATAAGCATGCAAATTTCTCACCGGCGCAATACAAGGAAAACGTGAAAAAAATAAAGGCCCTGCCCTCCAGGAGCTTACAGTCTAGGCAAGACAAACAGTGGGGTGCAAAGACAGGAGGGGTGCAAAGACAGGGCAGGGGAGCAGAAGTGAAGACTGGGAATGGGAAGGGGGAGACAGAGAAGCCATGCGGCGAGTGGCAGGTCGACATGCTGCTGTCCCAGCACTCCGTGGCGATGGCAGGCAGGTTTGGGGTGGGGGTCCCAGCCGGCCGGTGGCAGGCAGGGGTGAAGAGGGCAGGGCGCCGGTCCCCTGCCGCACAGCAACATGCAGCATGCATCAGGTTTTACCTGATCTCACTAGCCAAGTCGCCGCCGCAGGCCCCTCCGCCGACCCCGCCGCCGGCGCCATAGCCGAAGGCACCGCGGGCGCCGCCGACCCCGGTGCCTCCGCAGCAGCAGCAGATGAGACCCCAGATGCCCACCGCCAGGCAGGCCAGCATGAGCAAAGAGCCCAACACGGCGCCGATGATCATGCCTACACGCTGGGAATCTGTGGAAAGAAGTGAAAGCGGGTCAGGCTTCTGGCAGCCTGGCAGGTGTCAGGGCTGGGGTCAGTGGGAAAGAAGGAGAGGATTCCAGGGGGTCTCTGGGCTCTGGGACACCCAGTGAGGAAGTTAGGAGGGATGCAAGTTTATCCCTTAGGTCTGTACGTTTCTCCCAGGGTTTCCAGCTGCCCTAGGCAGAGACCTATAGTCTGACAGCAGTGGAAAAAGCCAAATGAGGGTCCATTACAGAGCCCAGGTGCCTCCAAACCAACCCTCAGCCAGAGGGCCCTCAGGGATGTTGCACCCTACCTGAGACCTTCACCTCCACCACGCAAACGCTGTATCCCACATGGTTGGCCACTGTGCACTGATACAACCCATTGTCCTCTTTAGAAATATCCTTCAATACCAAGTCACCGTTGTTCAGGCCTGAAATTGAAGAAGCATCAGAGGGTCATAGAGAGGCAAAGAAACCTACTCTCTGAGAGCTCCCACCCCAACCTTAGCCCCTGTGGGGTGGGGGTTGAGACACCACTTTAAAAGAAATGCTTATGCAAGCACACGCACATATCCGCTCCACTCAGCACTCTCAGGTGAATCACCTTCCCCCTGCTGCATCAAAGAGGCAAGGAAGGACCCCTCTCATAGCAAGACAGAGGGACCATTAATTCACTCTGAGACCTCAGGGAAATATGACCCCTCTCTGAGCACTGGTTTCCTCTTTGTACAGTGAGGACAAGGGTTAGGCCAGAAGAACTCTAAGATCATTTCTAACTCTGTTATTCTTTGATTGTGGCTTATTATTCAGCTTCTGTGTGTGCTAGGAGCTTCACATATCTCATTCCATTTAATCCTCACCTGAGCCTGTAAGGTAGTTATTAGTTCCCTTTTCACAGGGCACAGAGAGGTTAAGCTGCTTGCCTGAGGTTTATAGCCAGTCCAGTATTCTCGCCCAGCTCTATCTCAGACCATGATCTTTCCACATTAACTAGGCTGCTTTTGACTGACTCCTCACTTTTGGCTTCTCTTTTCTTCATCCCTCTTTAGCAGCTGCTTGGACAGTCTCCCATAGGGGTTCCAAGTTTGACTTGGTGCCACTGATAAGCCAGGGAAGCCGCAGAAGTTCCCTGATCCTCTATTCATCCCCACTCTGCCCTCTCTGGGGCCTCCTCACCTTGACTGACAGAGCTGTGGAAGGACTCCTGGTAGGAGAGCTCAGAGTGGAAGCTGTGTTGGGAGTGGTAAGACCCAGCTCGGTAGGGATGAGTATGCCCACTGATCTTGGCCCACTTGTATGAGAGGGGTTGAGAGCCTCCATTGGCAAAGCACTTCAACACCACATCGTTGCCCTTTGTCATGTGACCTTCAGTCCAGCACATAGGTACCGCAGGACGTGCTGTAAGGAGGCAGGCAATTATGAGCCAGGACCCAGCCAAAAGGCAGAGCCAGTCTCACAGTGGCAGGCTGCCCTTGGCTCTGAAGCCTGGGGAACTAGAATCCAGAGGAATCTGGCCATACCTTGGACAGTGACAATGACCTTCCTGGTGGCCATGGTGGTCTTCTTCACCCGGCACTCATAAGTGGCTGTGTCAGATACCTGCAGATTCATGAGGTTGATGGAAGCATCGTACTGACTGGGGTCTGAGGCTGCAAAGCGGACCCTCTGTTGCAGATGAGGGAGGTTGCCATGATTGATCCTCTTGTCCTGGTAACTAAGGAACTGTAAAGAAGAAAACAGGTGGTGAGACAGACAGAGCCAAGGAGGACCCTGTGGGTTTGCTCTTTGGGCAATTCACTGAAGTTCTTCAAGACTGGGTTTTCTCAGGTGACAAATGGGAATAATAATGCCTGACCCACTAGCTTCTTACAGAATGGGTGGAAGCAGATAATATTAAGAAGCACTTTGGAAAGTATAAGGTCAACCTGAGAATTTCTAGTGCACAGGGAAAACACCTCATCTTGCCCTTAGAATGGGGTGGAAGGAGGTAAACCTACTGGCTGGCTTGATTCCCAGTTGCACAGTTCTTATCCTATTGCCCCTTTCCCTGAGGATCCTTCCAGGGTGGGGGGAGTTCAAATTCAAGTCTCGGTTTCCTAATTTTCCCTTTCTCCTTCAGCATCTTGGCTGCCCAACAAGTAGGCATCACAAAGTACAGAGTAAGGAGAACCCATGCCCAGCACTTACCACATTCTCCCGATGTGAGGGATCTGAATTAACCTGCATCCACTCTATGTCTAGACCATTGGGGCCATAGTCCTCGGGGTCCAGAATGTAGGGGCAGCCAAGCCTCACATTATCACCTTCCGCCAGGTACAAGACCTCCTGGCCATCCCCATTGATCCGCACAGCAGACAGCAGTGCTAGAGAAGGGTAAAGCAAGGAAGTGAAACGAGCAGAGCTACAGCCTAAATAGACAGCATTAGCCTCGCCCTCCACATTCTGTCAGTGCCACCAAGGGCTCAGTGAGACTTCCACTGGGAGGAGGGGCTGCTCTTGTGTGTGTGTGTGTGTGTGTGTGTTCAAGAACTGGTATAGGTATGTCTGTGCATAATTGCATTGCTTGTTTATTCATGTGGCAGTGTCTGCACATGCTTGTGGATTCATGTATACTAGGATTGTATAGGTGTGCATCTGAATATTGTTTATATATACATAGCTGCTGTGTATGCTTGTGTGTATACACGATTATATATTTGCATGTGTGGATATATATACACAAATCTGCATTGCCTGCTAATGAGTATTTCTAGATGCAAAGATATTCATGCATGTCACCATGTTGGGTATCTGCTTATATGTTTACTCATATGATAGTCTGGATAGTCTGTTGTGTGTCTGTATGTATATGTAGACATGTAGAGTACCCGGAGTCGTTAAGTGCTTTGATAGAAGAGACTGGGTGGTTAAAACCCACCTGTCTGGGCTGTCTTGACTCTGTCTGGGACAAGTGAAGTGTTCCTATTTAGAAACAGAAGGATGCACAAGTGGCACTTGGATTCCCTTTCCAGCCTGAGAGGCAGAAGACGGGGCGTGTATGTATATTGTTGTATGTGCAGGGGGTAAGGAGGAGGGTATGACTGTGTGTCTCGGTGTGGGATGGGTCATTGTGTGCTGATGTTAGTGCAGTCGTGACACTGGCAGCTGTGACATGGAGCCTGGCTGTGTTCATGTGTGAGTGATGATGTATGCCTGAGACTCTATCTGTAGGATGAGCCTTAGATGACAGCGTAACAGATTGTGTCTTCCCTTGTGTGATTGTGTGGCTCAGGTACAGCCACTCCCACATGCTGGCTCCCTGGTGGCCCCTCCTGCCACTGAGTCAGAGGCAGGAGGCCAGGGTTAGAAGCCAGGATCTGGAAACTCCTCCCCTCCCTACCCTGAAGGCCCAGGCAAACACTAGACCCAACCGGTTAGACCTATAAAGGGGGGATGTGCCCAAGGCCTCTCTTCCTTCCACCACTCAGCACACTACTTCCCAGTCTCCAGCAATACTCCCCCTCAGGCCCCTCACCCATGTACTGTCTCTCTACAGTCTTTTTAGGGTCAAAAAACCCTTTGAAGTCCCAACCCCAACTCTCAGTGATCATTCTGTTCTGTCTTCCTGTGGCTCAGGACCACTTGAATATGTAGAGAGCATTTCAACACACAAATTACACAATGTCAGAGGTAAACTAAATCAACACATAGACACACTCTTTCAAGCCTTCAATGCAGATACAAAACTATGCTGTCCCTTCTACCAACACAGACACTGTCAGATCTATACAAATGCAGGCATACATTTGCAGGCAAACATAGTATGTATTAATCCAGAAGACACACCCACTTCACGCTTGTATGGTTTCATACACGTTCATTCAAGATCAGACGTATCTGCAGAGACTCCCTGCTTGCTAGGTGTAGCCTGGGAGACCAGCGAGGGACCTTTCAACAGCCCCACACCTCAGGGATCGCTGAACTTGCCCCTCCAAACCCTAGCTGGGCCATCAGCCCTGCCCTCAACCCAGCTAGACTCCAAGGTGACCCAAAACAGGCGAGCTGGTTGCAGGAGCTCTAACGGGACCTGCTGAAGCCTCCTCCAGCCCCAGGCCAAGAGAACACCAGCTCATTCCTGAGATAAAGATCCTGATGCCATCTGCTAGATCCTGGGGCAGCACAATGCAATCCAGAGATGAGGCACTGCTCAGCTGAGAGCAGAGGCTCCACCCTCAGAAGAAGCCACTGGAAGCAACTCATGACAGGTAGGATTCTTTCCCCACATCATGGAGGCCAGTCAGACAGGAGGGTAAGTATTCAGAGAAAGGGGCTTAGCAGGGAGGGACAGGCTGGAAGAAAAGTGCCTCCACCCTGCACTAAACTAAGTGTCTTCCTTCAATTGTCCCAAGCCAGGGAGCCTCACCCCAGCTTCTCAATCTCCTTAGAAGCATTCACAGCCTCCTCCCAGGGTTCCAGCCTTTTTGCATCTCCTTGGGAAGTTATTCCTGGTTCCTCTTGCTATTCTTCCACAGAATGTAAGAGAAGAGGAGGGCTAGAGAGAGAGAAGAAAGCTAGGGTGGGAAGAGAGAGCTGAGTTGGGAGACTTGGGGAAAGAGGAGAACCAAGTGGGGGGGATCTCTAAGGAAAATAGTAATGATTGTCCTCCCACAAAATCACTATGTAAGGCTGGCCATCCTCTGGGGGAGGGTGGGTCACCTCAACAGTAGTGTGTACTCTCAGCTGGAAAATCCATTCTGAATTTTCAAGCTGTTTCCAGACAAGAAGATGAGAGAGAGATAAGGGAAGGGAGGAGAGAAAAGACAGCTCCACAACAGGGTCCAGGTGCATAAATACAAGCCACATCTGTGTTCACACTCCTTGAACACACATAGCACACATGGATGTGCCCCAGCAACCCCAGCATAGCTGGTGCTTCCTGAGTGGGCTCTGCCAGCAGCAGACAGTGAGCGTGTTCCAGGTGTCCTGTCAGAAATGCAACCAGTCATACCCACACGCACACGGGCTAAAATGATCCCCCTTCTTATGTTCCTTCCTCATACCCTCTATCCTCAGTACAGACCCCAGAAGGGACTCTGAGCTGTTTTCAGCAATACCCAACAGAATGGCCCTTGCTGGGACTTGCCCAGCCCAGGGCATGCAGCCACAGTATCCAAACCTGAGCTCTGCCCTCCAGGAGTGCCCCAAAGGGTTAAGGGGGCTCTGGGAGTTACCATCCATCCCCACCCTCCTCAGGCTTCATCCTGGAGAGGGCACAGCATAGAAGAGCTCACAGCAGAAGTTTTAGGCCTGAGCTGTCATTGGCCATGATGAAAGCAATCCTGACAGACTTAGCCCTTTAAAGGCAAGCAGCTCCCCTTCCTGTACTCTAGCTTAGGAGAGAAGGTCCTCCCACTGGGAACAGCACACAGTCTGACTTCTACCCCACCTCTAGCTCTCACAGGTAACTCCAAGCAAGCTCTGTCTTCAGTTACAGCACATGGGTACAACATGTGGGGCACCTGCACCTCTGTGTGAGCCCCACAGGCTCTCAAACACATTGAAGATCCACTCAAAGACCTCCACACACAGACATTGCCCCACGCCTTCAGGCATAGACTCTCTTGGGGAGATGCCTCATTGGCAGCGTCCAAACCAGGGTGGTGGCGGAGAGAGGGTGGGCAGGCCCTTCAAGGGCCTCTCCGACCACCTTTGAGGCTCTTCTGAGCGCCTTGGCTGCCCCTTTCCCTGCCCATCTAGCTTCATGCTGGGCATCCCTGCCCACTGCACAGCCCCATACCTGGGCTCAGGCACATGAGTAGAAGGTGAAATGCTCCTCGAACTCCCATGTCTCTAGGCTCGGTGTTTCCTCCGCCTGAGCTGGGCTCCTGTGGGCCGGTGGTGATAGGTGTAGGGGCAGGAGGAGGGAGAGGGAACTGAGGGCCCAGACAATGCCCGGGGTGGCAGAAAGGTGCAGTGAGTGCCCAGCTGGGGAGCAGCCAGAGTTATTTCTATGGGAGGGAGGGGGCCTGGTCCCCGCCTTGGGGAGGAGCCCCAGTAACCCTAATTAGCGGGGTGACAGGATGGCCTACCCAGGCATTACCCAGCCCTCACCCAAGCTCTTCCCTGTCCCAAGAGTGGCACAGGGCGGCCAGCAGGACTTGTAATTAAGCATCTGTTAAAGCTCCACTTCCTCCAGGCCACGTCCTAGGGGTGACAACAGTCGCAGCATTTTACAGCGTCCACAGACTTCCCCTCACCACTCATTTGCTGCCTCCTTCCCTGGGGGAAGTGGGAAAGAGGAAGGAGAAGCCAGGCTTGGGAGGGTCAGCCAAGCCTTGAAGAGTTAACACTGACCCAGGATACTGAAAATTGACATACCCTCCCAGTACAGTCCCAAAGGTCCAGGTCCCAAGCCCTCCAACCATCTCTGACCCTCTATGTGGAACCCTTCAACTCAGATCTTTGAGAAGATGTGCCAGGGAAGGGGACACTTTCCCCACATTGGGACCTGGTCCTGGAAGGAAGGCCCAGGCAGATGAAAGGGATTCAGGAATGGCCAGCCACCTTCCCCTTGAGGCCTCTGGCCCTTCAAAGGGAGTGGGGCCTCCTGAGCTAAAAGAGGGAGGGAATTGGATATACATAGGAACAAGATCTTCCCTGGAACTGTCTCCCAGTCATGCTTGACACAAGGTTATCTCCAGGTGCCAGGACCCCTGAGAACCAGAAGTGCTATAGGGATCCAAGCCCCTCCCTCCTACACAGTTCTAAAACAAGTCACTGAAGTCTGAAGAATAGGGACCAGGGTGTGTGGAGGGAGTGAGGTGAGTGAATAGGGTAAGTGAGGGGGCTTTTCTGAATGAGGGAATGTTGGGGACAACCGAGCCAGGAGGACCCTCACAGAGGTGTACAGGTAGGAGGGAGTCTGAGCTCCTCTGTGTGTGCTTCCTTCAGGGATCTCTTGTTATCCCAGTTTCTATGCCCAGAAAGAGTCATCAGACCTTGAAGTTTTAATGCAGATCCAGTGTTAACTCAAGGACCCTCACAATATGGACAGGTCATCGGGTAACTAAGGTCATCAGAGTGACTAAGCTAGCACAGTTCTAGGCAAGTTGGAACTGGGCGGGAAGCTCCCACCCAACAAGAGGAGAAAGGGGAAGGTTAACTCTTGGTTGTTACAGAGGATACAGAATAGGAATTGGGCCTCCTCTGGATTCTAGGGCTGCCTCACATGAGGCAGATCATGAGGGACCCCATTCAACAGCTTGACTCCCTCAAAGGAGCCAAGAGCCCTCCCCCACCTCTGACATGGGGCCAGGAAAGGCGGAGGGGGAAGAGTCTTGTGGAGAGTTATGGAGCTCAGGTATACTTCTAGGACCCACACTTCTAGAAAGAATAAGACAATACGGAAACACAAGGAGCCCACGCAACTCTTTGTTCCAAACCCCTCTACCCAAACTCCTAACAATAACAGGGTACTCTGAGGTCCACCAGATGTACACAGTGAATATCCTTATTTCCTTATTTATTTTGAGGTTTATGGCATTGTCCTGCACCCTCTGGAGAACAGGGATCATTATCCTCATTTTATAGATGGGGAAACAGAAGCCTGAGGAAATAGATGGATTCAGTTCAGTCACTGCAGCTGGCTAAGTGGAGGATAGCCAGGCATCCTGACTAACTCTCAGCCCAAACTGGTTCAAGAAAGTATGTTTGTGGGGGGATGACCCTATAGGTTACTAGATCCATTCATGAGAAGGAATCATGGAAAGCTAGTAGTGGGTGTGAGGAAAACAAGTGGGACCAGGAAAACTGAAAGGAAAGGAGTAGAGGTTGTTCCATTAAACTGAAATTCAGGGTAGGGGTCAGTTGGATTCTGGACTTGAACTAATGTTAAATTGGGTAAAGCCTGGAGCTGGGGTTAAGTTTGAGGTTAATTTAAAAATTATGAATGAAGTCGAGGTCAGATTTGAGGTTGGGATTAGAGTTAAAGTATTAAGGTTAGAATTACAGCTAGAACTGAAGCTGGGGGTTATGGCTTGGATTTGAGTTACAATAAGGAATTGAATTTTGGTTTCATTCATATGCTTAGGAACACAGGTAGGACCCTAAATCAAAGACTGGGTTTGAGACTGATTTAGGGCTTGTTACAACTGGGTTAGAATTAAGTTTGGGATTTGAGTTAGAATAGGCTGTGGTTGGGGTTAAAATACCGGTTAAAGATATATGAGCTGGGAGATTCATAGCAATCAAAAATGAGATTTATTTATGATACAGGAAGACATCAGCCTCCTGCTGAATCCAAGTTTGGCTAGAACGTTCAACCCTTAGCTCTGAAAGAATACCAATGGTGCACATTAATTGGAATTCCAAGATTTGGGGGAGAGATCCAAGTGTGCATGAGCTCATCTGAGGGATACGAAGCAACTTAATCTCATAATAAATGAAATCACTCAAGTCCTGCTCTACTACTAACGCTCACAGCTTGGTCAAGCTCCAAGAAAGGCATTTGGGAAGGGGATTCACAAAGCTATTGGCTCTGACACCAAACTGAGCCAGAAGATGAGGCCCATCAGAGGGAGTCATTCTAAAGATGGGGTCTGGTTGTGAAGTCTGGGAAATGAAAGTTGTGGGAGAACAAGGACCTAGATGCTCTTGCAAGAACATCCACTCTTGAGGGGACCACAAGGGGGTTTCTCAAAACCTGAAAAGGTGCATCACCATCTTTGGTCCCCTTGACCTACTGAGGGCTAATTGTCACTTCCTTGCAATTTGGGGCCTATAAAAGAAGTTGTCACCTGTTCTTCACTGTGCCCTGAGCCCTGCAGGAGTTTGGTATGGTGGTGATGGGAGAAGGCTGTCTGGCATAAGTCCAGCCCTCAGCCTCCTCCCTCTGGGACTGTCCCATAGCTCATGTCTCTCTCAGCCTCATTCTTAGCAGGAAGGGGGCCCTACTCCTGGGAGATACCTTACTCCAACTCCTTCCTCTCCTTTCCCCAACTAGTCTCCGCCCCAAACACCCCATTTCCCCACCCACTTCCTTTTTGGGTCCCATAAAGGTTCAGACTAATCTCAGACACTATTGGACTTCAATCTGTGCCAAAGGGGAGAGACAGAGAGGGTGGGGAGGAGAAGAAAAAGGAGAGGAAGAAAAGAAAGAGATTGGGGAAACAGTGACTATCTAAGGGGCAGAGAACAAGAGAGTCAGAAACACATGGCATGCAAATGACCTATCCAGAGCTTCCAAGAGAAGCAGAAGACCAAGGCTAGGATCTGGAACCCAATGCACAAATTTCCAAACTTCCTTGCTTTTTCTTGAGAAGTTCATAGATTTCTAGGGGAAAACTGTGCTTTCATGCATTTTCTAGGGGAGAATGGGACAAATTTGAGTGGTATTTGCTTCTATTCTAAGACAGAAACAGAAAATTAAAGAGGCCTAGAAAGAAAGAAATGGAGATGTAAAGGAAGAGGGAAGAGGTAAGACGAGAACCCAAAGAAAACTAGAGCCAGCTTCTGAGATGAGATACAACACAATCCCTTTTTAGGAAGGACAGGCAGAGCCCTTGGCCCACCTGTTCTTCCTCTAAAGCCCCCTTGCAGCAACTCCACACAGCCCCATAACACTGCCCTTCCTCCCTGGACCCACCCCAGCCCTTTTTCCAAGCTCATTAGGTTTATTCTCAATATCCCATCTCCCCTCCCTTGGTCCAAGACTGCAACTTGACCCTTTTTAAATTCCACTCACAGCGAGCCCCTTTGCGCCCTCTTCTGAGTCTCCATGCAACACCTAAGGAGGAGCTATCCTGCAAAGAAAACCTCTGAGGAAAATGGGAGCAGAAGTTATGAACCACCATGGAAACACAGCATCAGTTAAGTGTCAGAGGCAAAGAGTCACAGAGGCACCATATAAGCAAGTATAAATTTATATAAGCTGCTATCTCTCCACCAACCTTCAGAGAAGGTTTAGGATGAAGGATTGCCAGGAGAGGACTGGAAGGAGGTCATAGATGGTGCCACTGGCAAGACAGGAGTTCTGACAAAGAAGGGTTAGAGTTAGTTACAGAGAGAAGGGACAAGATAAATGTGTGGGCTTAAGTTTGAAGATGTGGGCTGGGTGGGGACTGTGGGTTGGTGGGCAAAGGTTTTAGACACAGATGACCCAAGGGTTCCCTAAGCCTCTGCTCATGCTTCCCACCTCAGAAGGAGAACCTCAAGAGGGAGCCTGGATATATCCAAATCTCTCCATTAAGCAATGTCCTAGAGCTGACCCAAACTCATAAAAGTAAGCAGCACATAGTCCCCATCACTAAAGGAGTGGCCTAACCCACCACTGTTGCAGCAAAGAGTGGGTTGACTAAATGTCATCAATTGAAATGCTATCAAGGGATGTGCAGAGGCAAGAAGAAATCCCTTGTAAAGAGTGTGTGTAATCCTGATGACAAATTGGAGGAAGAATTGAGTGACCACATCATATGGAACCTTTATCCACTCCATAATTGGCTGGGCTTTGTGCTAAGCCCTGGGGAAACACCCATGAAGGAGACTCAGTCTCTGTCCTTCCCCAGTGTCCCAAGTGATGGAGGATACAGACAAGGGAAGGGCCATCTAGCCCACCAGGGGCTGACCTAGTACAAATCTCTGTTTAAATAAAGATCTGAAAGATAACTAATGGTGTGCCAGAGGGAGGATGGTGGGGAGAGGGGGGAATCACAGAGGTGACCAGAGGGATGTTTCAATGCTTGAGAAAGCCAGGAGCCTGCCAAATAGGTTTCAGAAAAATGAAGCCAGGAGCGACAAGTGATGATTATTGTAGGGCTAAGGTGGGAAACTCCTTGAAAAGTAAACTTCTTGGGACTCCAGAGTGTCTCACTGGGATCAGAGCCAGGCCCTCAGGATGGATTCAGCAATTAAGACTGATCAGCCTGGACCATGTCTGTATGTGTGGAAACAGAGATTTTGTGATGAATTAAGTCATATGCCCAGTCTGACTATGGATTTGGAATTTGTAGAAATAAAATTTGCCTTTTTCTTACTACCTGGATTCTTCTGCCATGTGTCTGCAGAGGGAACAGTGGTCCCCCTGACCCTCAGGGTGGCCCTAGATTTGTCTCTCCCTAGGCAGTTGCCCAAGAAGGCATGTAGGAACAAGCAGGGATCAGAGGGAAGCTAGTAGGTATTTGATTCTGAGCCCTCCCCTCTAAGCCTAGCCTAACTAGCCTTCATTCAACCTTCCCTGTTTGTTACCCATTGCCTGGAAACCAGGATGAGAGACTGAGCAGGAAAAGGTGAGGTCAGAGGGGGCAGGACTCAGGCGGAACATGGTCTGCCAGGGCTGGCTGGGGAGGGAAGTGTTAACTGGCAGGAGAGCAGTAAGCCCAGCCACAGGATGAAGTAGAAGTTTCCCCAACTCCTCCAGTTTCCTCCCTCCAACACTGGCTTCCTGAAATGCCAGGAGTACCCTGTGTTTCCAGAACTTTGGGCACTTCTCCATGTAGAGTCAGGCTGCCCAGCAGCTGGAACATTTGAAGATGCTCAGTCATGTACAAAGAGTCTAGACTTTGTGTTTTGTTTCTTGTATGGTCCTGAAGAACAGAACTAATACCATACATTAGATGCACAGGAAGACATATATGGACTCAATATTAAGAACTTTCTGAGCAGTGGGGTTGATTCAAAATGACTGAGTTCCCCTATGAGGTAGTGAGTGCCCTTTCTCTCAAGGTATGCAAGCTCAGACTGTCCAGCCATTTGGCTACAGTTAACTGGTCCTTGTCAGAAAGAGGGGGGATCCTAAGAGAGCCCAGTGACTCAGTACTAAGGAGAATCAAGCACCAGAAGGTCTTTGAGGTCCCTTCCAGCTTTGAGGTTTATGATTTGGTGCTCATCCTCACCAGCTCAGAAACTGTCTTTCTCCTGGAGCCATGCAGAAAAGTTCTCTAGCTCTGAGCAGTTTCTTTCAGGCCCCAGACCCTCTGCTTCTCACTCCTCCCAATCTCCTTGATTCCTCTTGCTGGGAGTCTTCTGAGAAGCCACCCAAAACCTCTACCCTATTCCAGTCCCAGCCTCTAAGTCACCAAAGGGCATTGAGAAAATGGTTACCCCTTTTCTAGGAGGCCTTGGTGAAAATGCAGAAAGAAATGCAGAGGTCGCATCTCAAGGGTCATATGCCAGCTGGGAGGGGCAGGAGCTGTGGGCACTAAGACAAAGGGATGGTTTGAGCTATTTAAGGCCAACCAAATCAAGAATAACAATATACTGCCAGAAATGCAGGCCTTCCAGGTAAACTTGGCATGATTTCTTGGAATGCACCTCAGAGTACAGAATGGGAGGTGGGTCACCATGAACAGCCTTGGATGGGACCTCTGGTCTTAAGTAAGCTGTCTCTTTCCACAGCTCTCCCCCAGGCTCCCACACTTTGCAGTAGTCAGGAGGGATGAGAGTAAAACAAAGAGTGAGGAACTCTGTCCCTGAGCCCCATGGCCTGTGCAAGTAGGCTTCTTGTCTGAGACTCCAGTGTCTCCCCTCTACAGTCACCTAAACAGCTGCCATCCCTTCTCACCCCAAAAGCCCTGCCTGGCTTTGAACTCTCACAGCCCCTTTCATCGAGCCTATTCAAAGTGCTTTTACTGAGACCAATTAATGCCCAGCTGTGACCCAAGTCACAGAAGGGGCTGCCAAGGCTTTCAGGGGCAGTGAGGACATCCCAGCACCCCACTGAGTCAGGGACTGCCTGGCTGAGCCACCAGCACAGGCTGCTGAGTCATGCCCAACAGGAGTTGCTTCTGCGGCAGGTGCAAAGATTGAGAGACCGCCCCCAAGCCACAGCAGAGCATGGTGTGGCAACAGGCACATATGGGCAGGTAGAGCATAGGGCCCAGCCAGGAGCTGGGACACACGTGCCCGGAAGGCAACTGCCTGCAGATTTGACTCAGTGCCCACTGCATTTTCTAGGCTGGACAAGCATACTCTGACATCACAAGGACACAAGACAGGGGCAAGAAGTCCTCAGGAGCTAATATCTATCTTTATATGTAAAATAATGTAAAAATAAGATATAAAGGCATCAGTTATCCATACAACGAAGTAATAGCTTGGGTGCTTTTTTTAAAATTATTATTTTTACATCAACAAAGACAATGCACCAATAATACCCCCTATGTATCTCCAGATTTCCCTAACACAGTTCTACATCTTTGCAGCCTCTCAAATACCCCAACATTGATTCAGTGACTTGAAGAGGCTCACAGAGCCATTTTCATTCCCAAGCATGAAGAGGAGACAACTGTAACCTCCTTAATAGAAAGCAGTCCCCACCAAAGGACAGACTTCTAACAGCAAGACTAAGGCTGATTATTTCTGAATCCTGAGCCTGGGGGTCTACTACAGTCTTCAACCTTACACCCATTCTCTCTTATCTTTGTCCCCAAGCCTCGCTCCCACTCTGCAGGATACACTCACACAGCCTCCTACTGGCTCTGCCACTGCTATCACAGCCTGACTCACCATCCCCCACTTAAGCCAGGGGACTTCTGTATGTGAGAATAACGTAACTGTCCTCACTTCTGTTTCTGAGTTTGACAAGTAGAGGGTTTATAAAGATGCCTACACGGAACTGTCTGACTTACCATCCTGATTGCTCTAAGGAGTGTCTCACTTCTAGGAGCTAGGATCCTACTGTCAGGTTGATTCCGGAGGCCATGGAAGTCTATGCAGAGCTTCTCAGGAATCCCGAGAAGAACTTAATGAGACTAGAGAAGGAAACCCTGGGCAGAACTCTAGAATTCCCTCCCAAACCATCTTAATTTGCTCAGAGGTAGCTATATTCTCCCTTCTCCAAGGTCAGAAATTTATTCATGTAACCTGTGCTTAGGCCTGTCCAACAGTCTCAGTTATTGGCCTTGGGATCTGCAAGTCCCACAGACCAGTGGGGTGGCAGCAGCTGTGGTCAAATGCCACCCTTGATTTCAACCTGTGAACTTGGCCCATTTTTCTCTACCTGGGCTCAGGAGTTGGCAGTGTTACAGAAGCACTCCACAGGGGCCCATTCTTTCCAGCCCTGAGATGGACTGCAGGCAACCAAGGCTCTTTCAGACTTTGCTAGGAAAGTGAATACTCTGAAATAGGTCAGGACTTGTTCTTTGGTCCCTGCAGGTATCAATTGAGCAGTAGGTAATGCCAATGTACCAGATGCAGAAGGGACCTAGAATCCTTGAAGGGACTGCCATGTCTTCTCTCCCACCCTGGACTGGGTACCACATCTTCCCAAGACCCTTAGAGGAAGGGATTAATTTCCCTAGGTAGAAGGGCTGCAGTTGGGGGTGTTAAACAAAGAAAATTTTTTTCCCCTGAATACTTAGCAGGGATGCCCACCTTGTTGCATGGGAAACAGTCTTCCTTGATGGGGAAGGTAGAAAGGACACCTGGGGCAGCTGCTCAGTTCTGAGGAAGAGGAAGCACAGGAAGCAGCTTGCTGACTCTCCCTGGGCCCTATGAAAAGAGGACTCTTGCCCAAGGCCCTTGTAACCTGGCGTTGTAAACACCCAGGACGCGCCCAGCTGTGTCTCCTCTGCTGCAGGATGCATGGATCTGAGAAATGGAGTGAGCCCCAGGTATGGGGGGGGTGGAGGGGTACCACACTGATAGCCACTGGATGGAAGCCCTTTCCCCTCAAGGGATACAAAAGTAGGGAAGTGGCTCCATCATTGGATGCTGGCACTCCAGTCCAAAATGTGAGGCTTATAACCATAGTCCTTTCAAAAATGCTGAAACTATTCTAAAGGTACCTGAAATTTGGTGGGGGGGGGCAGCAGTGAGGAGAACTAAGTGCACAATCAAGAGGCTTGGAGGAAGAGGAGCAGGTCTGATATAGTCACCTAGTGTCCAGAGGGTGCCTGGAACATGGCAGGGACTCAGTAACTACCTGAATGATTGAGTGAATGACTGAATGAATACATTGGGCAGAGTGAGGAAAGTTAGATAGAAATGGCATTGGGAAGCCCTACTTATGGGAGGAAGATGAACTAAAGGGGAGACAGGCCATATGAGTGAATGGCAGCAGGATTTGGGTGAGGAGCTGGGCCCTAGGCATGCCCTGGTGGGGATGGAGAAGCTGTCCATATTGCAGCACTTCCTGGAGTGAAGAGACTCTGGCAAGAGAGAGCTGAGACAGGAGCAATGAGCCCCAGGTTCACACATTGCCCATCTATAGATGTGGTCTGAGTCATAATTGCGAACCCAAGCCCAAGAAAGATCCAGGCTCAGCCAGTCCTGATCCTCCCTTCCCAGCTCCACCCTCCCCAGCCTGTGTACCAGCCATCCCAGACAGCACGTCTCTGCCTCAATGCCCTGAAGTGCCTCTGAACTAGGTGTGGTACAGGGACAAGCGGTGCTGGAAGTGGATACCCCATTGGATCACAAAAATCCCAGGAAACCCCATGAAAAAGGAACCTTCCAGTTTAGGAGGAACAACCATGAGAGAGCATACTCTCATTCCCCTCCCTTGAGCATCACTCAGCCCACACCTGGGCCCCCTGGAACCTATTTTCCTCCTTCAATCCCCTGTTGCAGCCCCATCCTTGCAAGAAAGCTGAGCTCTTAAAGAAGTAGAATAGATTTAATCTGTAACTATGAAATGTCTATGTTAGCAGCAACTCTGGACACCCCAGAGACTAGGCAGAATTTGTCCCCTCAAGGCATCCCCAAGGCCATGGAGGTTCCCCTTCATTTCACAGAGGTGACTGGCAGGATGTTAGCTTTGCGCTCAGCCTCAATGCAGTACTTCTCAGGAAGACCGGTAGCTCTGCGGGACAAAACACAGGTGTAAGGAAGGTACCACAACAGAGGCAGGAGGAAGCAGGCCCTGGTCTTCCAAACCTGGGACTTGCACTCCAACCTGCTCCCACAATACACACACACATACACAGATACACATACCCCAGAGCACATTCATGTCAACATCTCACATTAGTGCTAAGGAGCTCCAAGATAGCCAGGAAGACCTAGTTCCAAAATCTAAGGGAGCCCCCTTCAGAGGGCAAGCCTTGAGTCAGGAAATGGGCCCCCTCCCTGAGCACCTCTGTCATGGTCACTCTACCCCTAAACCCACACTTTCTAGCCTGCCATGCAATCTCTTTGGGGTAGAGGAGAGGAACAAAGGAAAAAGAACCCTGATGCACCTCAGCTCTTCAAGCTTCTTCTTCTTGATGTCATCAATGCGCTCACGCCGCTTCTGGGCCTCCTCTTTGAGGCGCCGGCCCTCTTCAAAGATAGCAATTCGGTTCTGCACCTGCTTCTGCTGGTTCTCACGCACCTGCCGACGGAGCTCATTGGCATGCTGTAGGCGCCCTGTGGCCTTTTTCTCCTCCTCCAGCCGCTCCTTCTCAATCTGCTCTCTCTGAGCCCTGGAAGAGGTACACAGGAGTAGAATGGGCTATGCTGAGGTCCTCCAGCAGACCTCAGAGACCACAAACCTCCAAAACCCAAGCCCTCTTCTTTTGCAGCTCAGGGATTAGTCCAAAGCGGCCACCATGTGTGCTCCCTCTTCCCACCTGCCAGAACCAGCTTCATGATCTTTCAACTGTATGTCATAGGCATATCTAGAAGGGCCCCAGGCTTGGTTTAATGCTCTACTGTCATGTTGTTGAAATTCTTAATAATTTTTTAACAAGGAGCTCTACAATCTCATTTTTCACTGGGCTCTGCAAATTATATAGCTGGTCCTACAAACAGGGTTTCACCCACTGAAAGCTATTGTTCTACTCTTCTCTCATAACAGTGCATAGTTTCCTTCACTTTAGTCTAATATATTTTCTTCCTTACTTTCCTCTCTGATGATAACATTAACAAAACCAAGCAAGAAAGAGATAGCAAAGTCTATAATGATAGCTCTACCTTCTCAACATAATCAACAGTAAAAATGAAATGTAAATCATCTTAGGGAGGGATTGCTTACCAGTTCTCCTCCCACAGGCTCACTCACAGTCTAATAAAAATTCTCAAAACACTGTTTTGCTTAAACATGTCCATCTTGCCGTCTTCTAAGATTCCTCATACATGGGTTATCCTCTCAACTCTCAGCAGCTCTCTCCACCATGCAAACATCTCCTAAAATTCCACACCTCTATAGAGCCTTCCCAGTGTATCAGAACAGCTGGCTTCCTCTCTCTCTGTATTTGGACACCAAATACCCACTGCCCAGACACATCTATGATAACAGAAATGCCCTCCTCTGCCTGGCAATCATTTCCCTGTATGTAGATCAGTTTCCTATTATTTCTTATTTCTGAGGAGTAAGTGTGGAAAAGGGGAATCTGTATGTGCCACTAGAGGGCCCCTGGGGTGATGGGCAGATGAAAATCCAGCTGGAGAAGAGCCCGGTCATTCCACAGGGTTAGGGCAGTGATCATGGAGCTTGGCTGAATACTAGAAACAGCTGGGAGATTTCAAAAGATACTGATGTCTGGGCCTTACCCCAGAACATTTAAATCATGATCTATGGGGGTGGAAGGACATTGGTATTTTTCCAAAAGTTCCCAGGCATTTCTAAGAACCACTTGGGAGGGGTAGATTGGCTATCTCTGCTTAGTCAACAGGCTGAGAGTTCAAGGCATCTCACTGTCCAGAAGCAGAAAGTCTATATGTAGGCCATACTGGAGTCCACACTTTTGAAGTAGGAAAATTTAGATCGCTGGCTGTGACAGAGACACTCTTAGAGTGAAGAAATCCATCATGGAGGTCACATGGCTTAGAGACACTAAGTCTAGATACTAAAGTAGCCAAAGGGCTAGTCCAGCTTTAATAACTGGCTAGTGTGTATGCTTTAGACAAAGAAAGCAGAGACAAATGGGTCAGCAGCAAAAGTAGGACTTTAATTTCATTCCATGAATATTTATTAGTGCCTGCTAAAGGCACACAGATGTCCAAGGGCACAGAGGTCAGGGAGGAGAGGGGAGACATCTGGAAGGCAATCTGGAGCCCAAGGGCAGGTTCTTTGGGGGCATTTATGAAGCTGTCTTCTTTACCAGGTGTCCAGTGAACACAGCACAACCCCAAGGGCAGAGAAAGCTATAGAGCCAAAGGGCACTACAGCCAGTGGAAACAGGTTGGGGCCCACAATCCTATAAAAGACCAGGAATCTGGCACTGACAGGGATGGAGGTTCCTATAAATCTGCTTTGCCTCTGATAGAGGTGAGGAAAACCTCATTTGGCATGCCACTAACTAAGGCATCTCCAAGAGGAAGCTGGACATCCAGAAGACTGGATCCTGTTGTTCAATCCTACTAGTCTGAGCATAACTTCCGTAATTTCACATTCTCTAAATCCAAACTTTTTTTGTTTCTTTTGAAAAATTCTGATCTTACAGAGGCTGAACCAGAATAAAAAGGAGTTGTTCCTAGTCAGACCAGGTCTGGTGATGGCAAATCTGACTGGTAGAAAATAGAGCAGAAAGGTAAGCCAAGGTCACCTTTGATTATAACTGTTTTGGGGGAGGGTAAGAACAGTGAGCAATGTCAATGTTTGGCTTCCACTTAGGTGTCAGAGTTATCACTGAGCCAAAACAGAGAACAAAAGTAAAAGGACAAAGAACTGTCAAGCTGGAAAGATGGATGAATATAGGTGAGGTTCCTTCAAATACTAATCTCTAACATCTTTCCAATGGAATAGGCAAAAGCAGAATTTACTAATTTCTAATGTCCTCCATGATATCCAGCACAGAGCTTTAAACATACATGTTTAATATTATTTGTCAAACCAGCGGCAGACCTCCCTTAGAGTCCTGTTCCAGTGACATGACCCTTAGTGACGAAAGCTCTTCTCTATTTCTCCTAAGCATCTACTGCTGCAGCAGGAGACAAGGGAGTGGGGCAGAAGGAACCAGATTTATACCTTATTTATACTTTCACTGATAAATAACTCCAATAATCTCCAAATCCTTAGACATTTCCATATGCTATTTTCCAATTCTCTAATCATTAAATTCTTGGCTCAAGTACCTTTGAAATATTTCAGTCTTTCATCTAATTAGAATAATTGCACCAACATGGTCAAGATGAATGCACATCCATCCATTAAAAGTGCTGAAAGCTCCTCTCCACCCAATATGGACCCCTGCAGCATACTCCTCATTCCCCTTCTACCTCACTGAGGAGAGGGAAAGGAACCGAAGTTTCCCAGGCCTCTCCTACCGAAGAATCCTTTCGAACTCATCCCGGTCCCGTTGCACCTGAACAGCCAAAGTGTGCTCCTTGAAAGCCACCTGTTCTAGCCGACTTTTTCGCAGCTTGGCTTCTGTCTCCTTCTTCTTCTGGGCATTTTCCTTTTCCTTTCTGCGCCACTCTCGGTCTGCCACCTCCTGATTGCGCTTGGCCCGCAAGGCATCCTGGGAAAGGAGGGGGGCAGTGAGGATACAAAATAAGCTCAGGTACAGACCAGGTGTCTGTAGGAAGACACCTACTTACAGACTTTACTTGCTCTGCTTTGAAAAGCAACATGTATTTCTCTGGTAGCAAGGTATTCTAGGAAAGAATAAATGGAATCCCACAGAAGTTTTGGGTCAGAAGATACCCTGAGGATCATCTTGTCCTTCCACCACTCTCATCCCAATTCTTTCCCTGTTCCTCAAACACCTCCAGGCACTCCTCAATTGCCTCTAATTTTAAAAACTGCTAATGATGGAGATGCCACAGTTCCCTCTGATGACATATTCCATTGGTCAGTTAAGGTTGAAAGTTCTTTATATAGCAGCCAAAAAGTTTCTCTTGAACCAAAGCACATAATGCTATTCAGATCTTGCTGCTATAGATATTGGGAGCAAGTCTACCTCTTCCTCCTCAGACATGGAAGGCTAGACACTGTGCACTCTCTCTTCTACATCCCCACCCTGGAAGCCACTTTACAGGCTGTCCAAGGAATTGGTAAGGGAGTGGGAGAGACAGAGGGAAGGCTTAGAGGGAGGGGAAGTAGGTACCTGTTCTGCCTGGTAATCCTGGGCCCTCTCCTGCATAGCCCTCAGGCGGGTGATCTCCTTCTCTTTCTCCCTTCGGATTCTCTCCTGCTCAGCCTCAAACTCTGCTTCTCGAGCCTGCCAGGAAGAAAAGTCTTCATAGAATAGTTCTCATTTTCCTAGCCTTCCACAGAGAAACAAAACCTCTGCAACAAGCACACTTTCCAATATCTCCTCTCCCACTTCCTGACTCCTTTTAGGATAGGCAAAATAAACTTAGAAATTCATGAACATAAAAACAACTAGCACTTGTAAAAAGCTTCATTGTTTACAAAAAGGCTTTCCCATGCATTATCCCAGAGAGCTCTTACAACATCTCATGAGACAGATATTATATAGGAGGAAACCAAATTTGAACATAGAAATCCTGAGTCCAGCTTTCATACTCCTTCCATTATGTTGCAGACAATTGCAAGTTTCAAGGCCACTGGGTCAAGTTACAACTGTGGCTCTCTACCTGTCTTATAAAGTGCAGCACGTGGAGTTTATCTCATTAGTCCCTGGGCAAATAGCCAACAATGCTTTGGGCAATCTCATAGTGGTTAGCAGATATCTGAAGAGTGAACCATCAAAATTAGTTCCTTTTACTACCTCTGAAAAAACAAGCATATCCCCAAAGTCCCAATCACTATTTCTTGAGCAGTCATAAGACTAACAGTACAGGTTTAGTCAAAATGCAGTCTCCCATAAGGAACTTCCCTTAGCTGTCATTCTACCTGCCCAGACTTCTGTAAAGTCCATGAGTTGCCTACTTGAGAACCATGCTTGACTGTGCCATGCTGGTTCCTCTACCCAACCTTGTCCTGAATGGCAGGGTAGGGAATTCTGAATGTTTCCACAACCATTTTCTGCCTTTAGCTCTGAAGAGGGCAGCCCTGACTACAGCAATAGACACACTGGGAGGGGAAGGACTTGTGATATATAGTCATGTGTCACATGGTATTACCATGTCAAATAGTAGTTATATAACTATTATTATATACAAACCATCTCTGTCCCCAAAGTTGCATTCTCACTCTATTACCTGCATTCCTTGAAATCCAGTAAGAAAACTGAAACCAATAATAAATAAACTTTGCCAACTGTCATTTTTCATGATTTGTATTCAGCATAAACAGGTATACCAAGTATGCCTTTTCAAATTATAACAACACCCTCTCCCCACCTCAACAACCTTCATGAAGAGTCCTTACTGTAGAGGAAGATAAAGAAGTATGATGTGTTTACTGTCATCATAGAACTTTGAAATTTGCAAGAGACAAGACTAACACCTGAAGAAATCATTTTCCTGTCACTTTGAGTACTTCTTCCAATTTTTACATAAACCATGTTTCCTCTAAACCATACTTAAAAGCCTTCTTTTGCCCTCAACTTTCCACAGACTCCCCCCCAATCATTTCATCGCTCAATTTTGCCCCAGAATGAATCCACATATTTCTGAGCTACATCCATCCATAACTGTTTACAGACATTGCTCACTACTCCGCCATGGATTTGTTCCTGTAAGTTCTACAGTGAAGGAAGAGAGACTGTTTTCTGAGTCTAATACCCAATACAGGATGCCCAATACAGGAGTTCTCACAAGAAATTTAAGGGACAACTGACACATGATTACAGGGGTATATAAGCCATGAGGAATCCACAAAAACTTCACTTTCACCAGTCATTTTAATTTTCTTCCTTCCTATTCAGGACCCACATCCCTTCTAAATGAGGGTGTTAATGAGGATAAATAGCACACTAATTTTGGGGTCCTTTTTAGGTTACTCTCTGATAATCACTAAGTGGTCTGGTCAAGATGAAGAGAAAAAGAAGTCAGGCCTTCAACTAAGGACAAGTGTTTTAGAATAATGTGGCTACCTTCTGCTAGAATTCCTTAGTTGTGCAGGCCTGTCTCTCCTGTTACAGATAAACCATTCCTGTCAAGAAGACCCAGGCATCAGAAATCAGGTTCTTACCATCTTCTTCTTGGTGAACTCCATCACCATCTGGTCTGCTAGCTTCTCCTGAGCCAGCCGCTCTGCTTTCTGTCTCTGGTTTTCCTCGTTGATGCGCTTAATCTCAGCCTGCATTTTCAGTTTTTGCTGGTGCCTTCGTTCCATGTCCTGCCAGCAAAACGATGCGAGCATCAGAGTAAAAGGAGGCAATACTAAATGCTACTAGCACATAGGGATAGAAAGACAGAGGACAAACACATTGCCTGCAGTCCAGCTGCCACTACTAGCACTTATAAAGCTGTTCTTTCAAGGATGGTCTTCATCCAACTCAACTTTGTGGCAGTCCTTGACACTGCTGATCTTTATGAGCTTTCAGGAAATGGATGCTCTTAAAATTCTACTCAGTGTCCCCCAAATATCATGCTAAATCCTAGTCCTATGGCTTTCCATGTGCTGCTATCCTCTTACCTTCAATTTCCTTTAACTGAAACTCAGACTTTCAATGTCTCCAGTGATAATGATTTAAAAATAAACATGGCTGGGCCAGGGATGTCACTCAGTGGCAAAGCACTTGCCTACCATGCATAAGACTCTAGGTTCAATCCCAGCATAAATAAATAAACAAACAAACAAATTGCCCAAGCTGAGAACTTTTCATTCACTGGGCACTTTACATAAGCTGTCTCTAATACCTAAATATGTCCCCAAACCCTGAAAGGTAGATCCTGCACAGGTAGAGACTGAGGCCCAGCATTTAAGTGATTTGCCCAAGCCCATAGAGCTAATAAATTCCAGAGCCAGATTTTGGAAATCTTACTTGACTGTTTCAACTTTTGGTTCCCTCCATTTCTCAGTTTTCTGCACTTAGGTGGTGCTACACCTCTTGGAAGGTGATCAGACAATGCCTTCTAGGGTCCTACTCATTTCATATGCATTCATTGTGTCCCAGCTAGAGGACAGGGACCTTGTGTCTCATTCCCTCTCTCCCCCAGACAGCATGTAGCCCAATGTAAGGAAAACAATAAAGTATTGCTAAATGAAGACCGGTGAGCGGTGTGTAAGAAAGAGGGGGAGAAAAGTCTTAGACATGGAGAAACGTGAGTCTCTGAGCAACGGAGAGCAGAGTATCAATGTGACTCTGAGTAACAAGATCCTTTCTAAGGAAACAGTCCCTGTCTTTCCCAGCTGAGCCCTCCAAAACCTTCCAAAGATCAGACCACTTCTAAGCCCAGGCACATTCTTGGGTTACAATGCTGGTGGACATGGGAAACTTGTACTGCTGGTCCCCATCACCTCCGATCTATCTCAGACTTCTTGCTTCAAACTCTTCTACCCACCAACTTACCTTACTTCCCATACTCACTTTCCAGATCCCTCCATTTCTTCAAAGACTAAATCTCTCCCTGGCCCAGCTTCTACCCAGATTCACCCAACCAAGACAATACTGCCTGGGTGTCCTCCTCTAGGGCTGGCTCTCTGCCAGCTTGGCTCACTGCCCAGTTCAGAACTCCTTCCTCCAGGAAGCCTCCTGAGCCGGAAAGTACAGCAGCTGTCTACCTCTTAGGTCCATGTGGCACATGAGTCACAGCTGCAAGCATTCCTCATACTCACCGTACTTACCTTGCTCATTCCACATCTACCATTGTGCCCATCCAACTCTCACACCCTCTTCTGCCCTTCTCCCTTTCTTATCTTTTTCTCACCAGTTTCAGGCCTATTATTGGTACACTGGGCATTGTTTAATCCCATTGACCTTCCTGATCCAGGATATAAACACAATCACATATTTATTTGCTCACTCCTTCACCTATTTATTTACTTTTTGGATTTTTTGTTGCTGTTTTTGTTTTACAGTACTGGGGACTGAAACCAGGGCCTTGTGCAAGATGGAATGCTCTACCACTTGATCCATGCCTCCAGTCTTTTTGTTTTTATTTATTTGTTTGGTGTATGAATTTTTTTGAGGGGGGTGGTACTGGGGTTCAAACTCTGGGCCTTGAGCTTGCTAGGCAGGCACTCTACCATTTGATCCATGCCCCCAGCCCCTTTTTGCTTTCATTATTTTTCAAGTAAGTTCTCACTTTTTTGCCCTGGACCAGCCTTGGACCTCAATTCCCCTGCCAATGCCTAATAGCTGGGATCACAGGCTTTTACCACCACACCTGCCTGTATTTTGCTTTTGAGATAGGGCTCACTCTTTTTTGGCTAAGAATACTTGATCCTCTTGCCTCTGCATCCTGAGTAGCTGGGATTACAGGTGTACATCACCATACCTAGCTTGGTTTGTTATTTTTGCTAGCTTATTTCATTTCCAAGGAACTAAGGGAATTTCCCTGTTTCTTATCTTAAGTCCCTCAAAGAACCCAGATAAATTCCCTTCACTCTTCTCCAACTTGCTGGCAAGGTGGGAAGAATTGCCTTGCCCCCTGAAATGACAAGGTAGCACTACAGCTAGAAAGGACAGAGTTCTACCCTAAATTTGCCTAATAATACTGCAAGCATAATTTGGGAACAGTTGAAGAAATCTGAATATGGATTAAGTATTAGGTGATTATTATGGCATCACTGGATTAGAGTTTTGATGGAAGGTATGATAATGGTATTCTTGACATGCAAGATTGCCTTTATTCTGTAGATACCCAGGCTGAAGCAATTACTGGCAAAGTGTCAAGATGTCTGCAACTTAAAATAGCTTATACATATGTCTAGAAAGAAACAAGTAACTAAGGCAAATTGTTAACCATTGTTAAATCTAAGGGAAGAGTTTATGGATATGTCACAATTCTATTTTTTTGTGTTTTTAAATTTTCAAAATAAAAAAATCAAGGTGAAAGAAAGAATAACTACTCCAAATGCCTGCTGTATCCCTCACTGTACTACAAGCTTTTGTACATTGCAACAGGCCAGATAAGGCAAATATCTATTTTTATTTTAATTCTGTTTATATTTTAACTTCACTTGGTTTGAACAGGCATGTCATCAAATTTTTTGCTTTGTTTTTTTTTTTTCCAATAGATATGACTACTAATTTCATTTAAACTAACCGGAGGAAAATGTTTGGCTTCACAACACTATTAATGCTATGTACTTTGAATGGGGTAGCAGCAGGGGGCCCAAAAATAAGGCACTGCTTCTATTTATCTACTAAGTGTATAATATCCCTCCATAATTGAGGGAAGACTATAAAAAATCCCCATGTTTACTTGTGCAAAGCATGAAGTCACATATTTCCTTATGTGTCTGTTCACATTGATATGTTAGTCTCAGACCCCAAGTCCCTGGGAGGCAGGGAATTGTCCTATCCAAAATCACTGCTCATCCTCCAGCATGATGCCATGGTCTAATAAATGTTTAGACAGCAGTAAAAAGTTGATGATGATGATGTGAAATGAGCATATGCCTGACAGAATATCTGTCCACACCCTGAAACCCCAAAATCTTGGAGGACTGCATTGCTGTTGCTGTAGCTAGTAAAATTTGGCATGGTCTGACGGCCCTGTTACCCGCAAATCCTCCTCCTGGAGCTGTTCCATATACTCCATCATCTGCTCCTTCTCCTGCTCCCGTTGCTCTGCAAGTAGCGATCGTTCCTCCTGGTTCTTTTCCATTTGCTGTATAATCTGCCATCTTCCTCTGGGAGAGAATAGTGCCACAGTGGCTCAGAAACCAAGGGTCTAACTTCCACCCACATAGCTCCCAAAATAGGAGGTTTCACAGACACCATCAGACAAGTGCCCCTTAAATATGCATATGCTTTATGAATTCAGACCAAAGACTCCCCAGAGAGTCCTCTGGGGTTTCTCTTCTGAGAACCCCCTTTCTGAAGTTCCCCTTCTTCATCTGTCTGCCCAGGAGGTTATCCCACATCTTCCCACACCTTCTCCCTTCCAGTATGTAATGAATATCTGAAATCCAACCTCCTCCCAAGTTTTCGCAAGATATGGGATGCTAGCTTCTTCTTCCAGCTTCACAGTTTTGAGTATTTAAAAAGTCCAGAACCTCTAATTCCTCTAGTGCTTCTGACATCACCCAATTTATCTTGTCTTTCCACCCCATCTCCTATGCCTAGTCTGGCAACTGTCTTTTGTACATCCTTGCTGGCACAGACTATTAGATGCTGACAGATAGGGCTGAGTCTGAGGAAGTCTCTCCACTTAGCAAAGTCCTCTTTCAACACTAAAAAGCAGGAGACTGGGTCTACAATCAGTGCTGCCAGCATCCCGTGGGTGTTACTGGGATCTCAGTAAACTTGGTAGCATCCAGACCCCATAACATGAGTATATGCTAGAGGAACATGAGAAGGCAAGGTGAGGATAAGAATCAAGAAGGAATATGAGATTCATATTCAGATAGAACACTTGAAAGAAATAAACAGAAGCAATGAGTAAAAGAGTCACTTAGAGCCAGGTGTGGGTGGCTTATGCCTATAATCCTAAACTACTTGGAAGGTTGAGATTGGGAGGATGGTGGTTCCAGGGCAGCCAGGAAAAAAGGTTGTGAGATCCCCACCTCAGTGGAAAAAAGCTGGGCATGATAATGCATGCCAGTCATCCTAGCTATGGTAGGAAACCTAAAATAGGAGGACCACAATCGAGGCCAGCCTGAGCAAAAAGTAAGATCTTATCTCCAAAATAACCAGAGCAAAAAGGGCTGGGGGTGTGTAGCATAAGCAGTAGAGCTCTTGCCTAGCAAAGAGTAAAGCCTTAAGTTCAAACCCCAGTACTGCCCCCACTAAATAATAATTTTCATAGAAGCAGATGTGGGATCAACATTACAACCAGGTCAATCACTAGAACTGCCTAATGAGAGATTTTTTCCCTTCATTGGAACTGCTTATGCAAGATGCACAGCTACTTAGCCACTAAGTAAACTTTTGCTAGGAGCCTACTGCAGTCTTTAGAGTACTTACCAAAAAAAAAAAAAAAACACACTGTAGAAGCATTTAAAAGGTAATTCATGTATTGTGTGACTGGTAACTCTAGGACAATATGATTTTATAATTTACCTGCTCAGAGACTTGTCTTTCTCTCTCTACAAAATGGGGGGAGGGACTGGACATATTCATTTCAACATGAATTAAGCATCTACAACAAGCTGAACAATCTGGTAGGTCCAGGAACTTCAGAAATGAATAACGAGATCCCTGACCTCAATAAGCTCACAGTCTAGTGAGGGCTATCACAAGACATGGTGCATGATACTATAAATGCAGAGAGACAGGGCATGGAGAAGAAAACTATCAACCTTGCCTGCTGAAGTAAGGGAGGGTTTTCAAGGGAGTGACTGCAAAGCCACATACTAAAGGAAGAAAAAGCATTTTCCAAGAGGAAAGGGAAAGAGAAGGAATAATAAAAGTCATGAGCTTGTGACAAAGCCTGGCATGTTGGGGGATTGGGAAAAGTATAGAATGGATGACAGAAGTGATGAGAAATGAGATTCAATGGCGGTCAAATTGTGAAGCACCTGTTATGATCTTGGAAATAAGCTTTCAAGGTTCTGTGTTTCTTTGTATCACTCCATAAGGGATGACAGATGATGACAACCATGTCTCATCTCTTCTCTCTCTGCTAGGCTACATGCACCTGAATACATATGTAAATGACTTAAGAGAGGGAAATGTCAAGACCACATCTTTACCGGATGCTTTCCTCCCTCCTTTGCTTGTCTCGTTCCTCCTGCCTTTGAAGGGATTTCTGCCGTTCCACTTCCATCATCTGATCCAACCGCTTCTCCTCTGCATCCAATTCTTTTTGTATCTGCTGCTTCTCCAGGATTTGGGCATCCCGGATGGCGTGGCACTTGGCATTGAGGATAATCTAGGGAGTGGAGGCAAAATGTCACACTAGGCCGAGGGATAAAGACAAGGAGAGGCACACACAGGTGTGTGGAAGTTTAAAGGGAGAGATATGGGAGCAGATAACATTGAATGTGCTGAAGATATGCATGACTGGTCACAAGTCCAGAGAAGCAAGAGCAGCTAATATTTGCCCTTCCCCCTTAGCATAGTACAGCTCAAACATTTACTGAACTCCTACTAGGTGCCATGCAAGGAGAACCCAGAACAGCATCTTTCAATGTATTATAGAGTTTGGGAGGGGGTAATGGATCACCCTTTGGGAATATGGTGAAATGCATGAGCCTTTTCTTCCATAACATTCTCCTACATAAATACACAGAATTTCCATAAAACTTCAGGAGTTCATGGGTCCCAAGTTAGGCTCAGGGAAAATCATACACTCTAGTTGAAGGCTAACCCACTAGATTTTTAAGCTGGAAGAACCCAACATGACACAAAAAGAGATGAAAAACCATGAGTCCATCAACAAGAACCAAGAAGTAAAAGCTTTGGAAAATAAAAGGAGTTATAAGTCAAGAAGATTTACCTGAGATACAGAAATCAGAGATGAAGGAGTTGGGAGTCAGCATTTTTCATGTGGTCCGGAACTGAGCCACACAGAAATGAATTACAAAATAGAATTTCAAATAAACCCCTGTTCTTTATGCTCCCAGCTAAGGGAGCACACTAGGCCCTTTGAAACAAATCCTATTGCCTCCACCACCATCTGTGGCCAGACTTAAACTAGCAGGATAAAAATAAAACAACATCCTCATATTTATTTATCAATCACAGTTCACAAAGGCTCTCCCATATCTTAACTTATTTAATCCTGCCAATAATTCTACTAAGTAATATTATCACCCTCATTTTACAATTGAAGGAAGTGAGACTCAAGAAGGGCAAGTGATGTGCTCAATGTCACACAGCAAGCGGGTGGCAAAGCCAGTCCTCTGTGATTATAGCAACTCTCCCTGCCCGCCCCACCAGTCCCTCACCTTGTCCCATATGTGAATAAGAGAACGGAAGAGGGAGTGTCAGTGAGTCCTCTGAGGGAGGGAAGGACAAGAGATCCACCTTGCTCATAACCTTGAGCTCTTCCTCCTGTTCCATCCGCAGTTTATTGGCTCTCTGCAGGAGGTTCTGGGCCCGCTCCTTGGCCTCCTCCTCCAGGTCACTGAGCTTTTTGTGGAAATTTGACAACATTTCCTTCTGTTTCATGATCTTCTTGCGTGTTGTCACTGCATCCTAAGGGAGACCAGTCTGGATTGGTGGGGATTATTCCCGGTGCTCTGTGTCCTGGGCTCTAGCCTGGCTACCATAGGTAATCCAGTATGATTTTGCCTCAGCCCACCATGGCATAAGAACCAAGAGATTTCACAGCCTGCTTTCATTCTCAGCCCTCCCTTTGGCCCAAGTAAACCCCACTTCTCAGGCATTTCTCTCTGGTCTTCATTCTACAACACTTCTTCATTAAGTATACTTTCACACCTTGTTTCAGGATCCCCTAACCAGTTAGTCTCCACTATCTGAGAAGCTGGCCTCTCCTAAGTGTTTTTATTCTGCCACCCATCTGCAGGGGTTAGCTACCACAATGGCTTCCTTCTCCTTTTTAAAGGCCTGCTCCCTGGCCTCCAATTCTTCTTTGGTCAGGACGTGGGATGCCCATTTGATCCGCTCAAACTCCTCAGGGCTGATGATCAGGGATTCTCCAGAGGGGTCCTGTTTTGGAACACTGACACAGGAATGAACAAAGTTAGAGAAAAGAGGGAGAGAAAGCCCTGGTCACCCTGCTCCAGGCTCCTCTGTCCTCTTCCTCTCCCCACACCATGACATCTGTCATGGACTCAGTCAATGGCAGGAGAGACTACAAATGCACAGGTCAGAGGAGGGAGGGAAGAAAAGGGCTCCAGGTGGGAATTAAGTACTGTTGCTGATTAAAGACACGTTTTAAGTCCTTTCTCCTTAAGGTTCAACTCATATTCTACCTTTTGTGGGCAGTTGTTCAAGACCCGCCCCCATGTTCATGTATGCCCACTCTGTCTCCAGGCTGCAAAGATCACCCATCACACTCTGTTCTTACTGCCTGCATTATGTGGAGCGTGTTTTCTTTACAAGCTCCTTCAGGACATAGACTCTGTCTTACCACATTGGTGGCCTAGTCTTTAGCATAGGGCTGGGCACTGAGTGAGCCCTCAAAACAAAGCTGTTGAATAGAACTTTAAAAATAGATTATTTCAGATAACATAAAAAAGGAAGGGGACGCCAGACAAGGTTGAAATGAATGCCAGTGAGAAATCTAAACATCCCTGTCCTTCCAGCCTAGAGAGAAGCTTTGAACCCTAAATATTAATTAAAATTTCTGATCGACAACTGCTGGAGAACTGTCTATAGGCCTCTCTTGTAGCTGCCCAACGCATTCAACAGACCTATAACTAATTATAATGATTACAAACAAGTGACATACATTAAAGATGGGGGAGGGAATAGCTGGGGATTGGGAATCAAGCCTCTTCTGGGCAAGACAATTTAACAGGTACATGGCAAGTCACAGATGGTCTGATAGGAAGTGAAACTCCATCTAATGAAATTAGTGGAGAGGGGGTTCTCAAGAGAATGAGTCAATGGATTTGGAGCTTAGTGAAGATCTTGTGCTTAACCTAGTGGCATGGCCCAAAACAGCCTGGGATCTGAAGTGACCAGAAGGGATCTGAATCTAAGATGGCAGGTCTGAAAAAAGACTCGTGTTTTTTCAGAAGGAAACCACTCCAAGGAGGAGCCCCTTCTCAGGCCCCAGGCCTAGCTGCATGGTTGCTGGTCACATCTGCCATTGGATGCCCAGACCAAGTTCAATAAGAGGCTGCAGTCAAGCCCAGTTCCTATGCTATGTTCCAATTGTGCCTCCCCAGCTCATGCCATAGGCAGTATTTTCTAGGAATTCTTGTTGTTAGTGGGTGGAACCAGAGTAGGAAGAATGGTTGCAAAGAGTGAATCACTAACACAAGTGCAGAACCTCTGAGCACAGAGATGGTTCCTTGCACTTTGCTGAGCTGGGCCTGAACCCCACAGGTGGGGCCCATGCAAAGATGCTCCAGTCAGGAAGCAAGGTTGAAGCTAATCCCAAAGGAACCTGAGGAGCCCCTGGGAATTTCCTCAGATAGCCTGAGTCTGGAAAGAAGCCATGAGGCTAATTAAGCAGAGGGGTCAGTTTCCCTTTGCTTAGGATTCTTAAAGCAGCTGAAAGGAAGTGACTCATCTAGATTATTTCCCTTCACCAAGTACACTAATGGAGACTTGGGGGGGCCCACTAAGCACCTCACTTCTACTTGTCCCTAGATCCAACAGCCCTCCCCTCCAAGAAGAAAGGGGAGAGAAAGTATCTGTGAGTAAAGGGCAATGGCAATGACAGATACAACAAGGGGAGAAATGAAAGGCCAACATGGAGAAGAAGAACCATAAAACGAAAAGGAGAAAATGAATAGGAAAGAGGTAGGACTTGGACTGACAGAATGAAACCAAGTGAGTTTCCCCATCTCCCTGCAAAGATCCTCAAAAGTAGTGCAGGCTGAGCAAGGGAGGCACCTGAACTGTGCCCTGGGGACTCACATGAGTTCTCGGACCATGTCCCGGGTGATGAGCTGGATGGTCTCTGGCTTGTGGTCTAAGCCCAAGGCAGTGAGAGTTTCCCGGATGGCATGCTTATCTCGGAGCAGCACGATGGGGCTGTCACTCTGGCCCTGGACCAGGGGCTGTGAAGTCAGAAAGGAAGCTTAGAAGCTGGTCACCCAACTTTCTGCTCGTCCATCCTAACTTCAAGTGTAACCTTTCCCTTCCCTGGGTTGCTAGGGTGTATCTATCCCCTTACATTAAATTCATCAGGAATAAAAAGTAAGGTTTTAATCTCTAGGTTCTCCCCCCTCCATGAAAGTTTTTCTTTTTATAAAAGAAGGACTAATTATCTCTTATGGACCACACTGTGAGTTTGAAGCAATACAATTTGTTACAGACTAATTCACTCTATATTGTTAGTAATTTTTAATCCTTTCTATTCATTAATGTACTTTGAGTCCTCAAAAGAAGTCAAATCAAGAAGGTTAGACATAGCTAAGTGGCTGGTAAGGACCTGCCTTTAAAAATCTAATGTGGTTAAAGAGGTCAATGAGTAAGAAGTCTGAAAATGAATACAAAGGTGATATGTGATGCTTTTCAAAATTTTCTGACCATGAAAGAATTAGATAACAAGAAACTGAAATGAGTATTTCAGGAAATGTCTAAACACAGGAGAGAATTCACGTGCCATTAATGCAGTAACTGAGACCTGCCTGAAGGCCAGAGGATGACCTTGCCTATCCTGAGAGCTTCACTTTGCACACTGTCCCGAGTGCTGCTGCCACCTGGTGCCCATCTCTGTTTCCAGGCGGGCAGGATTCAATCATGCCACAAGCCACTTCTGCCCCCTACTGCTAGCTGAGAGACTTCCTGGATTCTCACTCACCCATAAGGCCAAAGAAACTGGACCAGCATTTTTTCTGACTGCCTCCTTGATTAGCCAACAGGACTACTCTTAGAGCACTTGGTCATTTCCCAACCACTCTTCACTTTAACTACAAAAGTCCATGTGGACCCCATCCCTCCCCCCACAAAAAAAAAAACTGTAAGTGAAATTGTGTCTCTTTGATTCTGTCCCTTACCAGTAGGAAAACTACTACAGAGTGGGGTATCATCTAAGTGGAAAGAATGCTCATCTTGAACCCTCTGGAAAGTCCTCTTTCATTCACAAGGAGCTAATAGTAAGGAGTAGGGATAGACATCAACTCACCTCTCCCACTGCCACTGCTATCTTTCTTCTCTCTTTTCTCTTTCCCTTAATCTCTACCTGCCCTGCTCTCCATGTCTCATTCTCTTTTCCTCCTTCTTGTTTTTCCTTCTCACCTACTGTCATGTATACCAAAATTTTTCAAAGTAATTCTCTAGCTCTCCTTTTCTAGATTGAAGGTGCTATTGACTTTTTAGTCTAGATGAGACTTGGAAATAAAAATCCTCTCATTTCCCAAAGCTAAGTAATTGATTTAGTTGAGCAACTGGGGAGGAACATTGTTTATGTTATACTCTGATGCTCTTCTTGGGTGGTGGGGAAAGCAGTTGCTCTGTGTCTATAAGCTGGGCCCATTAGCCCTCAAACAATTTCATCCTGGGTTCTCACTAACTACTGAAACTCCCTTGACATTACACCAAATTTTAAATGCTGAGAAGACACAAGGACTTTAGGGGTACAGGAAACCTGATGCCATTGTTTACCCAGGCCACATTAGAGGTCAGAACTCTGCAGCTCCACCAAGAACTTCCTTTTGTTTTCCATCTGAGTTACCTACAAGAGCTTAGTGACTTGACTGATGCAAGCTTTGTCCTGAGCAACACTAGTTTAGGCTACTGCCTCCAGATGGCAGTAACCCAGAGGGATTTGCTGAAGGTTACCTTGACAACCCCAAAGAGGCTTTCATCCACCTCAGAGCTCACGGCTTTGGTTCGATAGCGAGTCCTATTTCGTGACCTGTTGGAAGCAGTGGAACAGGAGCTCAGGATGCCAGATGTGCTTAGAGGCTGCAGGAAGAGGCAGAAAAGTGTGGGTCATTAGTACCCAGTAGCATGCAGACCTTAGGCAGCAAACATTTCTCCAGCCCATGCTGGAGAGGGGTAGGCATGTTGGGAAAGCATCTATGTAAGCCCCAAAATATAGAGGCAGGGGATCCTTGGTAGAGGAAAGGCACACTAGCTCCACAAAGAGGAGAACTTCTGTAGTTCCGGGAACAGAAAAAGGTCAAGTCTTTGCCAAGGAAGGGTGAAGGAAACAATGATGGCAGAAGAAGAGGAGCAATCTTCACCTCATTGCCTATGCAACTCCAGTTTCCCCCAGGACAACCTCTTACTAGGCAATTTAAGCTATCACCCCAGGAATGTATAGTGTCCTCTTCGCCTCGCTCACCCTGAGCTCCAGGCCCCCTTCACAAATGACATACTACCATGTCTTGCAATCTCACAAGGTCTGGATAAAAAGAATATATTTATTTATTTATTGCAGTACTGGCTTGAACTCAGGGCCTTCACCTTGAGCCACTCCACCAGACCTTTTTGTGTTAGGTATTTCCAAGATAGAGTATAGCGAACTATTTGCCTGGGCTGGCTTTGAACCGAGATCCTCCTGATCTCTGCCTCCTAAGTAGCTAGGATCACACGCCTGAGCCACTGGTGCCCAGCTGATAAAAAGAATGTAAAGCACTTTGCTCACGGCTTGGGCATGTGGTTGATGCCTAGTAAACTTTAGGCCGTGGATGAACCATGACAGCAACACCCACAATCAGGCAAACCAGTTAACCAGTTCAAAATATCAACTATGTTCCTCTTTCTCTCCCTCAACTTCGTTAGTGTATATTAGTCATTACCCCCAGCCCCCGCAAGAATCTTCCTATGTTTGGCAAATTCCCCCATCGAATGTTGTTCCCACATCTGTAAAGGAGAAAAGCTGAAAACACTAGGAATTTGTCTTCCCAGCCAAGGCAAGGGACCTAGGCTAAGCCAATCAGATCACCCCTGCCTGACAATGACTAGGTTACTAGTGATGCAAGATACAGAACAAGAAAAGCCTTTCTGATGAGGCGGATGAGGCAGCCACATCCAGTGCCTGGGGCAACACTGATAAGGATACCAGCAGCAGCAGTCCACATTCAAAACCAGCAGTGTTGGTGAGCAAGAGGGGCCTTGCCAGATCAGTTCTCAGTTTTAATTTTGGCCCTATTCCTATTTTCTAAGCCAAGTTTACGACCTTGGTATAAAGTGTTTTCGATCTTCAACATTCCCGCCTTCTTAAATTAGAGTTCTGGTTCTGTTGGGCCCCAAGGGTAGAAGTCTATCTTCCAGGAACCTGCTTCTGTAAGGACTTTCGGATGACTCCAAGCTAATCTGAAATTGATTCAAACCTCACTTTGGAAGAGCCCAGTCCTTTCCCCCACTCTCCACACACACCCCTTTCTAAGCTGGCTACCTTGGGGGAATGGGCTAGACACACTGGGTCCCTCCAAGCCTGGGAATCAGCAACCATCAAGGGAACAGGGTAAACAGAGAAATGAACCATGCATTCCAGGTCACTAAACACTGGACATTGTTTTGAAAGCTCTCTCTGATCTGCCACTACCAACCAGACTCCCCCAGCACCTGTTCTACCTGTATCAAGTTTTCACATTAAACTGGGCAATTATTCTCCAGCTGGCTCTGTGCCAAACAATGAACACTACTGTGTGTGCCTTCCCCTCAAGCCTGGCACAGCCAGCAAAAGGCTTACAGAGAGAGCCTCCCTTTACATCCTCAGTCAGCCCACTACAGCAGAGCAAAAACGCTTGGATTTATTAAGAGGTAAATATAGAAGCCCCAAGAATGCCTAATAACAGCCTCTGAAGGGTTATTATATGGTGGGTGGTGAGCAACTGCTCTCCTTCCCACTGAAAATAGAATAAGAGGAAATGAACAGAAACTGCTGTAGGTGGGATGGAGGCTAAGCATTGGGAATCACTGGAAAATGTGGAAGCTTTGGATCATGAAGCATGGTGTGAGTCCTGTATGTAATTAAGAAAACAGTGGCCATGCCTGGTACATATTAGGAACCCTATACGCATTTAATGAAGAACAAGGAATGTAACTAAGCAAAACAACCTCTCAAGGAATGCAGACCAGACTGAGATTGATGCCTTCCGGGAATGCATCTGCTCAACTCTAAGTGACTCCACCATTCCACATTTTCCAGATCACATATGTAGTCCACGCTGTGGATAATAACGTATGTGAAAGGGTTTTGGAATACAGATGGAAAGTATTATTAGTGTTTTGCATTTGTTTGCCTGTTTCTTTTCAAGGGCTCCTACGGATTTTCCCTATGCATGCTGTCCACCAGACTGCAGGTTCCTTAGGGCTGAGACAGTGTCTCCTTGTTTCCGTGCCCTTGATGCCCAGGTCAGGAGGAAGTTACCACAGGAAATAATTGACTGCTTGAGCCTAAAAGTCAGAACAGAGGAAGGAAAACAGATGACCACAGAAAAGTGGCTACTGATCAGGCCAGAGAGAAGCTCTGAACTCTAGGGTTGGGTGTCTGAGAAAACCTCATTTGAGAATTGCTGACTCTGAAGCCACAAGCCTTACCCCAAGGTTAGAATAACCAGTTTTGCCAAGAGTAACAAGAAGAACTAGGGAGATCACTATGTAAACATACTAGAAAAAAATGAAGAACCACGCAGAAATGGAAAGTTGGATTCCTCTGGGTCAGAAGCAGTAGCCAAGAGGTTCTTTAGGAATTGAAGGGCTACTTTTATTTCTTGCATGACCAAATAAGTATTCCTAAGCAGCTAAGCAGTAGCTAGAGAGAAGTCCTGCTTGTAGGGAAGGGAGGCAACTCTGAAAGGGAAGGCAGCTAAGGAGGTAAGGGAAGTTGAAAAAGATGAGGATTGGGGACAGATAATGATGCCAGCCCTGCTTTGATATGCTCATCTTGGTGACCCCGCTGACTACCACTCTCTTCATAAACCATTTCATCCCAGGAGCACAACAATACAGCCAGAAATAGGAGCTCTAAGAGGGACTCCAATATAGAAAGGTTAGCTGATCAAATGGATGATAATATTGGCTTATAGTCACTGATATAGGGCAATCCCTATAACATAATAAATTTTAAAGAAAACGTTTCCCAAGAAATATGTAAGGATTCCTGTAAAACTGTTTGGTTGAAGGGTATGCACCCAGAATTGATCATGAAAAGAATCTTCACAAAAATGTCTGACAGTAATTTCAGGTGAGTTTCACCATCTTAAGATGTTTCTCATATTGAATAATTTTCTGCCACGAGTAGGTAACTATTTTTATGACCAGGAAAAATAACAAAACTACTTTTAGTTGAAAACAAAGTGTTAACAGTGGGCCTGGTGCCCCATCTCTGAAGGCTAAAGAGTGAAGCCACTAAAAACCACAGCACTGTGTGTACCAGAATCCAGGGTGTTTAGCTCAAATCCAGCAAGACAAAGCTGGCGTATGGCTAGAATAGGTCAGTGTGGAGTTTCTTTGACATAAATACAACACCTATCAACTGAACAAAGACAAAGGCATGTCCTTTCCTAGATGTCCTCCACACCCTGGGATCTAGTTCTTTTGCAAACAGAGTCACCACAGGCTGGCAAATTCTTGGCCTGCCTCTACTTCCCTTTCTGTAGACTTTGGTTATGAAGACGATAGGGATCCCCACACACCAGGCCTCTGGCCTTTTACTCTGAGTGATTCACTTAGTTATCCTTTCTTCACTATCTGTGAGATGTCATCTGAACAAGACACCCTCCTTCTGGAAGGAGCTGTTAATCATTGTTTTTGTAAGAGTCCTGGAAGTAACTGTAAGTATCCCCATCACCACTGTCTCTTCTTACTCTTCCATGCTTGCTCTAAAACTAGTGAGTAGCACCATATGCCCATATATACACACATATGCATGCACCTGGCCTGCCAGAGATCACTCAGACCTCTTGCTGCTCTGGGGTGTCTATCTGCCCAGTCCTGTCTAAGGAATTTCACAAGAGCTCAGTCAGCTAGCCAAACCCAATCCCTGGTCTGGGTGCTCTGCAGCCCACAAGTCTAGTCCAGTTGCAACTTACTGATTCATGAGTGCTTGGGAATAGGAAAGTTAAAACAGGAGCTAATATATGCCCTTAGATGCCAGGAATGAAGCCAGACTCTCACTGAGGGGAGGGGAGATGTGGAATCAAATAAAATACATAACCAAAAGGGTTATGCTACACTTCAGGTAGTCCTCAAAAGTTGGGAACTGCTCTTTGTTGAAGACTTCTTTATTTCATAATTAACAAAGTTCTTCTAAAATCCATTATACCTGGAAAACCTATGCAGCCTCTGAGCCTAAAGTGTGCCCTCAAATACACCTTTTGCCACCTGCTGTGCCAGACATTCTACAGTTAGTCCAGTAACCTTACACTCCACCTTCTGGGACCTACACACCTGAAGCCCAGTAGGCTTTCACAAGCCCTGTAGGCCTCCTCCCTGGCCCAGGCAACCCCAGGCCTGCCCGACTTGTCCCAGACTCTCTGCTGGGCCTTGTAACCCTAGGACTCTCCTATTTCATTCATTCACAAATAAAGCCCTACTAACCGAAGAGTCACCCTGCTAGTTGATGGCCAGTTGATGGCAGAATAGTAACTCCAGCTATCATGTGGCTTCCTCCCCAGCGTTTTTCTCCACAGGACACCCCACAACCCCCAGTTCACAGAGGCCCTGGACTGATGGGATGGGAGAAGAGTCCACAGGACACCCCACAACCCCCAGTTCACAGAGGCCCTGGACTGATGGGATGGGAGAAGAGTCCACAGGACACCCCACAACCCCCAGTTCACAGAGGCCCTGGACTGATGGGATGGGAGAAGAGCGGAACATCCCTTTCTCCCCAACTCCCCTACTCAGCCGCACTCCGCACCCCAGTCCCTGTGAACACCACCCCTAATTCCTCTTTTGAGGAATGAGGCCTTCCTTTGCACCTTCTAGGGCAATCCTCCCCACTCCCGGGC